AAGAAAGTCAACTCAAAGTCTAGACCTCCCTTCACTCTATCTGGATTGATGAGGGTGAGCCAGGACATGGTAATGCAGGCTCCTAGGCAAAACTGATTATAATCTATGTGAGCAGGGTTCTCAGTCTTGAGAGGCAAAACTCATTCATATGCAACACTGCAGAAGAGCCTTCCTTAGGCAAACCAAAATGTTTACATTCTCTGTCTTTGGCAGCTATTCCTGTTATAGCAGTTTGTCTATCACACACAAGTGTGAAGTGGTAGGCAAGAAGGCTGAGACTGCTAATGGACTGATGCTCATTCCCTTCCTGACAGGATCTTTAGGGGACATGACAAGCATATATGTTCCCACTAAGGGAACTTTTGTAGGTGAGCCTATCACAGCAAGTTACTTGTGCTTTTAGGTTCAGGCTCCAAGCTAAGGAGGCACTGTGAAAAAGCAGAGTAGGGATGGATGCTGGTAATCCACAGCTGAAATGTGAAATGATGGTCATTTTTCAAAAAACAGCCATGATAGTTTGCTCGCTTTTTAAAGCCCATTACTGGCTCCATAATGCACAGGAGGAGAAAAAAAATATATTGTCTCAGAAAATTGGAGTGGAAAAAGTTTGGTAAGGGAAGGGCTATTTTTCAATACTGGCATAACAGTGAACTGAAAGTTATGGCTGGGTAAGGGCTCTCCAGTGCATACAATTCAACAAACATTTCAGGTAAAATTCCATCTGGCCATGTGTGTCTCCTACCTCTTTCCCTTCTTCTGGCTTCCAATCTGACTTTATGGAATAAAATGTGAAGGGATTGTAAAATCACTCTGAAATTATCTACTGAACACGCAAAAAGAATTTCGCAGGTCTTGTCTCTCTATCAAAACAAAGAGAAGATTTTATAAATTATATTGGCATAGAAGGTCTCCCAGAGCAGAGATGGTGATGTTTTTCACATCTGCAAGTGTGAAGAGAACATATAACATTTGCACTTTGACCCAGTTTATAAGAAATCCACTTTTTTGTGTGGATGATTGTTGTTTCAAATCTATGTTGTCCTCTTATGACTGTTCCATTTCTTTGACATTCAAATCAGGTTGGATTTTATAGAGTTCTATGCAAGTTGTTGCTGAAAAAAAAAATATGGCAAGGATGCAAACTGAGGCTGAGTCATTGCTGTCAGTGTTTGAGAGGCTGGAAAAGACTTGGGGATGACGGAACATATGATATTCATACATGCTGAAAGCTGCAGATATTCATTGTTAATGAATGAGCTGATGATTCTCTGTGTGAAGTGTTTGCTGCATTAGCTCAGCACCAGATATATATATATCTGTAACACCATCCTGTGTTATATCACAAGACCTCTTTAAAGTCTAGGTCTGATTGCTTTTATTTTTCAGGTAGCCTCACAAGGAAGCAGAAGATTGACAGTTTGCTGCTTTAATGTCAGCTCTTCTGCTTCTATCCTGCAGAGGTCCTTCATCTCTACCCCTGCACTTTTGCACCTTTCCAAATTACCAGTCTGTCATCTGTCCACACTTCATTAGCAGAAAAAATTACAATGCTGGGGAATTATCCATTCTTGACTAGACAAGTATATATGAAGAAGCCATTTGGCAAAAAGGCCATCTTCATGTCCTGGACCTGTCAAGTACACATCATATTTCAACCCCTGTTCATAACAGGGGCTTTTTGATGCTGCAGTGCAAATAAACACTTAACAAAATGACAGAGGTGCTACTGCAGAGAACAGGCATCTTGCATGAAAAGAATACAGGTGTCCTCCCAAGTGATTGTAAGAACAAATTACTACTGTACTGAAGGAAATAATTTTCATGGAAGGCATTTGGTGCAGCTCAAAGGAGGAAATTTAATGCAGTTTTAGTGCTCAAAGATGAGAGGTTTATGGAAATTTCAAAATGGTAGTAGATAAAGAAATGTTTCATGAAAAATCTAAATTAAAACCAAAGCTTTTGAGTGACTATTGTTGTTTGGAGTACACAAGTCCCTCTTATTTAATTGTTTTAATTACCATTTAGAGCAAAACCCTCTAAACTAGTAATTAAACTATCAATTAAACCAATGATACATATAGTATACAACACAAGTTTATTCCAAGTAGAATATTCTACGAATTACCCTGCAATAGTCACAAAGAAACATTTAAACAAAAAAGCAATAGGAATTCAACTAACTTCTATAATTATTTCACTCTCACCCTATCACTTCTTAACATCCAAATATTCTATATCATCTATATTGGGACAGGAGGCTGTAAAAATTGCTGCCGTCTCTGAGAGTGCAGTCATGACTATTTGTTTCTCACTTCAATGAAATGCCTTCATTTGCTCTTCAGAGCTGCAATGAAGGTTTTAGTCAAAGATGAACCTGAGATTGTGACTATTTCCTCTTGGTGCAATTGACCCTATGTATGTAATTCAAGAGTGTTTGTGTTTACTGGCACAATCTTGTGGGCTCCGGTAATTAAACTGATAACACCAACAAATGGCTTTCAACCATATGAGCAGGTAAGAATAACTTTCTTCCCCATTGCTACACAGACGAAAGACATAATTTTTTCTCTGTTTCCATTTTTCAGCAGTGGTATTACACATCATGTATTTCACTACACGCCTTTCACATCCTAAATATCTTGGGCTTAGTTCAGAGTTTTGAATATCATGCCAATTATGCAAATCTTGAGGCTTAAATGTAAGCTTGGTATACTCTGAAGACAGTGTCTACTTATGAAGTCTTTCTTGCCAATCTCAAGTGTTCCAAATAAACTGCTCCAATGCTCCTCATAATATTTTCTCTGGAATCAGTTGGCCATATCGTCCTTTTCAAGCTACCAAATATTAATGTCCAGTCACACCGTGCCCTACAACAGTCAATGGGCACATAACAATTGCCTGTCAGAGGGGCAAATAGAATTGGTTTGATGCCTTGTTATAAGTAATTAATTGTAAATGGGATATCATTCATAAAGGAATAGGACATTAGGTCATTTCTCCTTTAATATGCAAAGATAACCTGAGTCATTAACTGGTGTCCACTCTTGGTAGGTAAATGCCATCCAATTTTCCCTTCATAAAAAATTCCCCAAAATGTTTTTGGGAGCCTTCTGAACCTATGTTCTGCTGACTCAACTGGATTGCATTTGGACACTGCCCTGTGAATCTGGTATGAATGTGCAGACCATAGATGCCACAAAAGCCGAGGCCACTATTTCACTTCCAAACAATTAACAAAAGTATTGGATTTAACTATGATTCGAATAAACCTATATGAATTTAGACATGCATGCAGGTATGAAGAGATTGCACAGCAAGTTTGATGAAGCTTACTTTCTGTTGTATGTATTTTATTTGTAATCATAAACAAGAAGCAGCAAATGTTTTTCTTCCCCCTTCTATAAGGTGTCTATGAAAGAATTTCATTCTGTAAAGAAGCCAATTATATATATCACACATATTGTAGCTTTGGAAAGAATAGTGCTTGTTAATTTATAAAAGTCATTAAATTGCACATTATTTTTAATTAAACAAAGTAGTGTAACAGGAACAGCAGATGAGACTGAGATGCGTTTGAAAATTTTATAGCTCTTCATTCCACATATTCTAGAAATCCTCAGAATCTGGTGAACAGTACAATCCAGATCAATAAAGAAGCTTTTTATGAGCAGCCACTGTAGCAAACAGGCACAATGGATTCATAAGACTATGAAAGAATTTTTAACTTGAGGATACAGTTGACTTGTAAAAAGTGAAACACAGCTCAGCCAATTTTACTAAAAAGTTGTGAGAAACAGAAATCAGAATAAAGGTTTTGATTTTAATCAAAGAACAGAAGCAACATTGAAGTGTTTGAGGAGTTTTACAAACTCAGTTGTGTTAATATCTCAAATCTTTTCTGAACATTGTCACACATATTGAAGGCTACATAAATGGTTAATTCCCAAAATGTGGACTGCTTTGAAATGAAATGTGGTGAACATTTTCTGCTATTTGATAGCATTGACTAAAAAAGATGGATGTGAAGAAGAGCTTATTGAGTACTCTATGTTTGGCCATCATGTTTGTTCATTAGGTTAACACCTTAAAAAAAATGTCAAACTCCAAACTTGCAGCTACAAAACAAGTGCTTCACTTCTGCTCTCCCTAGTGAGAAATGTGTTTCTTCTTGTATTCTTGTAGAAGTATCTCCATGTTCCCCTCATTATTCTATTCTCTCAGGAAGCCAAGGAAAAAAACAAGTAAGCAAAACAAGAGCACTGTGGTTTTTCTGCCTTCTGCTGATGAGCAAGTGAGCAACTGTCCCTTATGTGACCCACTGCCTACACTGAGCACAGCCATACACACAATTATGGTCACTCTCTGCTGAAGGGAGAAAAGCCTAATGAAACTTCATCTTAAAAATACTCGGTATCCTGATAGATAAAGACTACAAAAAGACACTGAGAAAGACAGCATTTAAGAATTTCTTGAGCTTGAATCTCATTCTTTATACTGATCATTCCACTTTATTCCGTGGTTGCTCCGCTGAAGGGAAAAGAGAACTCTTTCATTAGTGACTGCAATACTCTGAGATCTAATTTCACTTGTATGTCAAAGCTCCAAGGCAGTCTCTTTATCAGCTTTTCCAGACTTGTTCTTCAATACCCAATTTTGAGTACTCTAGAGAAGGAAGCCAGCAAAAAATCAGACTGCCTAGTCAATGTATCCTGCTAAAACAGCCCACTTCCAAAATTCCTATTTGTGGAGCAATACATCTGTAAGATATTGCCTCTGGCTATTACGTATTTTGTATTTTGCTAGCACTATTTAGTGGATTCTTTTTCTACTGCTTTAAAAATGGTGTGTATATGTGGTGCAGAGCTATGAAGAAACAAACCCAAAACCTCAGAAAGGACTACTGTGAAAAAAATATGCATTTTAGGATGAAGAATTCATTGTGAACACACTTAAATTAAAGTACAACCGTAAACTCAAGTTAAGACAAGAGAAAAACATACCTGTGAAAAGCCGAGCACTTGTCCATTTTCATCCAGCACATTAAAATTAATGATTGGACCTTGGACATCAGGATTGCTGAAATCTGTATCACTGTAAATACGTACTACAGGAGCGCCATTGGCATATTTTAAGTTAGACAGCACAGTGTAGGTGTAGTGAGCTAATGCAAAGGTATGCTGTTTTATTTTCTCCATTCCACCTACAAAAGAAAAGTGCACATACATGTCAGGTGCATTATTTTTATGGCAATGTAAAAAAAAGTACGATTTTTCAGAATGGTGTAGTGTGAGGCAATTAGCACAAAATTGATAGTTTTGTGTTTCTTTAAATGCATATACAATTTTCAAGTGTTTCTTTCCTCATATAGAAGTTTCAGAAGTAGTGTTGCACCAAGGATTTATCTGTAGTTAATTTAGTGTAGAAAGCTAAAGTTTCACTGAAATGGTTTACAGGAATTACAAGATTATATACTTCCAGTCTATACATAAAACTAAGATGTTTATACTTCCAGTCTATACATAAAACTAATTTGTTCTGGTACAAATAAACTGAAAATCAAGTTTTTCTCCAGATCTAACTCTGGAGATCATGGGAACACAGAAATCAAACTGTTATGCCTGAGATAAAATAAAAATAATAAAATTCTAAATGTAATGACTAAATTTAAATGTCATTTTACAAGGAAATTACTTGGAAAAAGGGCATTGTGAATTTTTCACTGACTACACACATGCACTTTGGGGGCTCAAGAGAAACTTTACAGACAAGTCTTCACAGAACTTGGCCTGGAAAAGGCATAAAGAGGAAATATATGTTTTTTGTGATTTTTTTTTGTTTTTTTTTTTTTTTTTTTTTTTTTTTTTTTTTTTTTTTTTTTTTTTTTTTTTTTTTTTTTTTTTTTTTTTTTTTTTTTTTTTTT